GCTCATTTTTTCTTTTCATGCAATTTGTGGTAAAGTGGGAGAGAGAGAGAGAAAGCAATAAAATTCTGGCAAATCAAATACAAAAACACATCAAAAAGATTGTGCACCACAATCAAGTGGGATTCATTCCATGGATGCAACGTTGGTTCAACATAGGGAAATCAATAAATGTAATTCACCACATCAATAGACTTAAAGATAATAATCATGATCATCTCAATGGACGCAGGAAAAGCATTTGACAAAATTTAGCACCCCTTTATGTTCAAAACACTAGAAAAACTGGGGATAACAGGAACATATCTCAACATCATAAAGGCTATCTATGCTAAGCCCCAGGCCAACATCATTCTAAATGGAGAAAAATTGAAGGGATTCCCTCTAAAAACTGGAACAAGCCAGGGATGCCCTCTTTCACCACTCCTATTTAACATAGTTTTTGAAACACTGGCCAGAGCAATTAGACAGATAAAAGAAATTAAAGGGATACTCATAAGAAAAGAAGAACTCAAATTGGCACTATTTGCTGATGATGATTCTATACTTAGAAGACCCTAAAAGTTTCACCAGAAAACTTCTAGAACTAGTAAATGAATTCAGCAAAGAAGCAGGATATAAAATCAACACCCATAAATCAAAGGCATTTCTGTAAATCAGTGATAAATCCTCAGAAATGTAAATGAGGAAAACTACCCCATTTATAATAACCTTAAAAAAATACTTGGGAATCAACTTATCGAAAGAGGTGACAGATCTATATAATGAAAATTACAGAACCCTAAAGAAAGAAGTCAAAGAAAACCTTAACAGATTGAAAGATCTACCTTGCTCTTGGATAGGCAGAATTAATATTATCAAAATGACCATACTTCCAAAAGCACTATACAGATTTAATGCAATTCCAATCAAAATTCCAATGACATTCCTCATAGAAATATATTTATATAATTTCATAATTAGAAAATCCTAAGGCATCTACCAAAAAATTACGAATTCATGAGTTTGGCAAAGTCTTAAGAAACAAGGTCAGTATATGGAAATCAGTTACTAGCAGTAAGTAATAAAAAAAATGCAATTAAGAAAACAATCCCACTCACAATAGCTTCAACGAGAATAAAAATACTTAGGAATAAGCTTGACATAGAAAGTGAGGACGTGTACCCTGAAAATAAAACAGTGTCAGAGAAACTGAAGATCATCCAAATAAATAGAGTAACATTTCATTTTCATGATCTAAAAGACTGAATACTATTAAAATGGCTAGTCTCTCCCATTATATCTATATGTGCAATATAATCCCTTCAAAATTCTGGCTGTATTTTTTATTTTTGGTAGAAATTGATAAGCTAGTATGGAATGCAAAGGATATAAACATTTTTTTTAAATGTTACAGAGTTGAATGATTTACATTATGTAATCTCAAAATTTATTATAAAACTGTAGTGATCAAGATAGAAGGTATTGGGGGATTCCACCTCTTGGGTCCCCTTCTTCCTCCAGGAGAAGTCTTTTCTGCTGTCCTTTAATAAACTTCTAATTTCTACTCTGAAAAAAAAAAGATAGAAGGTATTGGTATAAATAATAGATTGATGGAACAGAATAGAAAATCTAGAAATAAATCCCTGCTTTTTGGAGAATTTGACTTTTGACAAAGATGCCAAAGCAGTTCAGTGAAGGAAAAAGAAATTTTTCAATAAATGGTGCTAGAACAATTGAAAACCAACAATATAAAAATGAACTTTGATTCTTACCTTATACCATATACAAAAATTATTTAAAAAGGATTATAGATTTAAGTGTAAGGACTAAAACTGTAGATTTTCTAGAAGAAAACTTTGTCACCTTGGTATAGGCAAGAGATTTCTTAGAAACACATCAATAAAAGAAAAAAATTGATAAAATGGATTTCATCAAACTTGAAAACTTTTTTTTTTTTTTCAAAATGTATTATTAAAAAAAATGAAAGACAGGGCTGGGATTGTGGCTCAGTTGTAGAGTGCTCGCCTAGCACGGGACGGACCCAGGTTTGATCCTCAGCACTATATAAAAATAAAGGTATTGTGTTGTGTCCATCTACACCTAAAAAATAAAGATTAAAAAAAAAAATGAAAGACAGTACAGGCACAGTGGCATACACTTGTAGTCTCAGCTATTCAGGAGGCTGAGAAGCAGATCGATTACTCAAACCCAGGAGTTCAAGATCAGCATACGCAACATAGTCAGACCCTGTCAAACAAAACAAAACAAAACAAAARCTACAGTCAAATCCTGCACATATTGGARTGTCTGTATCCAGAATATATGAAGAACTTAGTACCCTAGTTTAAAAATAGGCAAAACATTTGAACTGACATTTTTACTAAAGTAAGTAAATAAATAACTGATGGTCACATGAAAAGATGTTCTACATTATTAAAGAAGTTATTAAGGAAGTACAAATTAAAACCACAATGAAATGTAACTATACTCCTGTTAGAATAGCTAAAATTCAAAAGATCGACCATACCAAGTGTTGACAAGGACATGGAGAAACTAGRACTCTTGTATACTGCTGGTTTGCATGGAAAATGGAAAATAGTTTGACAATTAAATATATACTTCCTATATTACCTAGCRTTTTCACCCAGGTACCAAAGTAAAAACAAACACATGCAAATGCTCATAGAACTATTCATAATAGCTGAAAAATTGAAAAAATCCAGATGCTGATCAACCAATTAATGGATAAATTGTTATATCCATAAAATGGAATATATTTCAGCAATAAAACCTATGAATATATGCTACAAAGTGAGAGAACCTCAAATATATTATGCCAAGTGAAAGAAGGACCCAGACACAAAAGACAACTTGCTATTTGTGTTTGTATGAAATTTTTAGAAATACGTAAGGATATACGACAGATCAATGGTAGCTTGTTAATGGCAGGTAGGAACAGGAATTTACTGCCAACAGCTGCTGTGATTTGGATATGGTTTGAGTGTTATCCAGAGTTTCATGTTGAAATTTCATCCCCAATATGAGGTATTAAGAGGGTGGAAATGTAGTCTGACTGTGGTGCTTAAAGGAGGGCTTTTCAGATTAGGTAAAGCCATAAGAAAGGAGCTRCCGTGAGTGATTCCTGGTGGCTTTATAAGAAGAGGGAGAGAGACCAGATGAGACATGTATACATCCATGTTTTCCTTGTCTCTTGCCGTGGAAAATCCTGTGCTTCCTYAGGGCAGCCAACAAGAAGGCCATCATCCCCAGATATGGCCCTAGACCTTACAACTCCAGAACTGTGAGCCAAAATAATATTATGTAAATTATACCCTAATAAAACTATTAAAATCACACCAGTACCAAGGAAAAAATCATAATGTAGTACACAAGTTTATGCAAACAATAAAAATTATCTTCTAAAATTTGAGAATATATTAAAATCCAAAGTCTGTTCTTTGTTAAAATGAGCAAAACATTCTAATCTTTTTGAAGTTTTTTTTTTCTTACTGTGTTTTCTAATATTAGAACAAAACCACTGTTTGAAAATGAGTTGATTTTATCCTTAGAAACTAAAAAAGGCTAGTCAAGCTCAAAGGCTATTTTAGCTATATTATTTATAATGTTTTGTTTTTTAAGCTGGATGCTGGATATATGACAAATGAGCCTCCTCATTAAAGATGACAGTTTGAATATGTGCATTAAACAACATTTGATCTCTTCCTGAAACCCCTCTAAAATTACAACAACAACAACAACAACAAAAAAAAAAGATATCAGTTCACAGGGGGCTGAGAGTGGAAGAAAAGACTACATTAAATGAGAGCTATTGGTGTAATTTTGAAAGATGAACAGTGAAGAAAGTAAAAGTCTTTAAGTATCTGTAGTAAAGAAGTTTGGTAAGAAACTACTAAAACCCCTGTGTTTAAATTCTGAAAGATGCGAATTAGTTGTCTCGGGTAAATCTGTAGGAGAGAGGCAGAGCTGAAACTAGGATTATCTGAGTACATATGTAGGGGCAATAGATCTACCTCCAGATTTATTTCCTAATCCCACATAGCCACATAGTTCCCCTGAGAGGGAGGAGTGGCCAGAGGGCAGAAGAAAAGGTGGACATGATAAAGGCATGATATATACATGTATGTAAATATTGCAGAGAGACTGATTAGTTTGTACAGTTAATATATGTTAATAACAAATAAGAGTGAGGAACTTGCAAAATAGTTTGGTATCACCACCATAATATTAGAACAATGTATTTTCTAATTGTGTCAGTAAGACAATATAGACAATACACTTAAAGATGGCAAGTACAAGACAGCATTCTAATTTCAGATGTTTTTATTGCATCTTAGAAATACTTTGAGAAATAAATGAAAATAGAAGGTAGAGATTTTTTAAAGTTTTTTTTCTTATCTTCAATAGTAACAAATGGATAGCATCTGAAACTGAAGGAAACACTGTAAATATTTTATTTAGAAATAAAGAAACAAATAGCCAGGAAATGGGAATCAAGGGTGAGGAAGGTTGAGGCCAGAGTTATTTTTTATTATTATCCTTATAATGAGTATTGCTCTAATAAAAATAAAGATTAGTTTTAAAAAGTACCCCTTGAAAACATATTAAATGAAGTTACCTGAGTAATAGCAGGTGTGTGTGTGTGTGTCCATATATTTCTGTGATTTGGATATGGTTTGAGTGTCATCCAGAGTTTCATGTTGAAATTTCCACACGACATAGGTAGATATAGAGATATGAATGTATAGGTTTATTGACTCTATCAATACCCTTTATACCAGTGGCAAAAGCAGATCTAATTATCATTTAGGCATGAGCTTTCATGTCAGATAGACTTAACTGTGTGATACTAATTTTTTAAATTACATGCACTCTGCCTATATGTGCAGTACCTTCCTATGGGAGAATTCTCCCCAGCCCCACTCCTGTTCCTTGTCTTACTTTTCATATTCAGTGAATGGCTTTAGAGGTTTTTGTTGTTGTTGTTGTTGTTTTGTTTTTGGTGGTGGTGCTGGGGATCAAACCCAGGACTTAATGCATGCTAGGCAAGTGCTCTACCACTGAGCCACATCACCAATCCAAACTTTAGAGTTTCCCTGTGGCTTCATATTCATACTAATCACATATTTTCAGTTACTCATTTTTCTAGTTTTTACTAGCTAAATATCTTTTGATTGTAAGTGCTTTTCCCAGTTCATGCTTCTAATTGGCTGCTCTGACCTAGTGTCTGTTCTCCTCTAGTTGACAAACTACTACCTCTGGGCAAATGTAGCTGGAACCCTCTTGGTATGCTTGCTCTGAAACCACACTCCTAGCTCAGCTGTGATCTTCATATTGTGACTTCTGGTTACCTTTCTAGTTTGCTTCCTTCACCCATTCCTTGTTCCCTTTTTGTTTCTGCTCTGTGCTTTAGGCCTCCTGAACTTTCTTAAGTTTTTGCCACCATTTCTCTTATTTCTGGGTCCTCTCATATGCTTTTCTTGATTTCCCCTTTTTGCTATGTCCCATAACCAACTTGAAAAGTCTTGCACATCTATCCTTCAGTTCTTTCTTTAGATATTACTTGCCTTTAGAGGTCTTTGACTTCTTGAATGTGAGAAGGTACCCTCTATGCTCCTTCCTGTGTTGCTGCAATTGCCTTGTGCTTGTTTTGTTGTTCATCATCTGCCCTAGGTCAGGGGTGAATTCTCTTTTTTATGTCAGACAGTAGAGTAGTTTGATTCTTTTAATGGCAATAAAATGAAATTTTCAGCCCACTAGGAAATAGGTATTATAGGGTTTCACTTGTCTTTAATTCCCTGTTAAATACAAAGTCAATAATATTGTTACAATAACTTCAGTGTTTTTGTCTCTCTGCTTAAAAGAAGGAACTTCATTCGGGTACTGAGCTCGTGATGATATTGCATAGTTATGTTGGGGCTTAATAACAAGTGACAGCTGAGTATGGCCTCTAATTGGGGTCCTCAGAGAAGTTCCAGGCTGCACTTAGGCAGTATAGCAGTATCCAGAATTTTGCCTTGGGCTTCTAGGATAAAGGTTGTGGCCCATAAGGAAATCCACTCACAGCTCTCCAGATGTTATTCCTATTAAATTTTCAAAGTCAAGCTGTCTTGTTTGATCTTAAACAAAACCTCTTTCTTTATTGATTAGGGATGCATTTTTACCATAGAGTGAAAGCAGGATAATGTCATGGTTAAGAACACATCCTTTGGAATGTAGATGCCTGGGTTGGAATCTCTGTGCCTTGGTTTTTCATCTATAAGGTGAGGATAACATAGGTGTATATCTCACAGGACAGCTGCAAGGATGAAATGGCTTAAAGAAACTAATATAAATATTTGTAAAGTGCTTTAAATAGTTCCTGGTTCTTGCTTCTTCCAATTATATGTATTACACAATGTGTAGGATACAGCAAGGAATCTAAAACAAAAGCATGCCGTATGTTTCTCTCTGTTCAACATATACAAAAGTATATGAGTTTCATCTCTTTAGGGAAGAAAAAATGGTAGGGAAGATTCAGGGCATTTTCCTAAGAAACCCTCATAGATTTGGCTTTATTATTTGTTTTCCTTTCTATACTGTGCCTTCTTTGAAGATAGAGCCATGTTTTGAGTTACTTATTATTTTATGTTTAATAAGTAGAGAAGCTGGCATAAAAAAGAAGCATGTTGAATATTTGTTGACTATTTTTGTTGCTAAGGGAAGTTTGCATACTTTGGTATTTACCTCTAGTAAATGTTAATCCTAATTCTATAATGTTATAAGTAAAAAGTGTAAAAAGTGAAGAAAGTAGAAAAAATATTTTGGCTCTAAAGTGAAAAGCACTTGAAGCTCCTTTATTTAGAATGCTGTATTCCACCACATAATTGTTTCCACCACATTAACGTATATTTGAGTATCCTATGCATCCTACTTTTGCACTGAAGACAGTTTAGTGATGAATGATTTAAAAAAATTTTTCATTTCTTTTTTTAAGAAAATTGTTCTTTTTAGACATATATGACAGTAGAGTGAATGTTGACATATACACACATGGAGTTTAACTTATTCTAATTAGGATCCCATTCTGTGGTTGTACAGGATGTGGAGTTACACTGCTCGTGTATTCATATATGAGCATAGGAAAGTTCTGTCTGATTCATTCTACTATCTTTCCTATTCCCATCCTTACTCCCTTCCCTTCATTCCTCTTTGTCTAATCCAATGAACTTCTGTTCTCCCCCCAGCCTTATTGTGTTTTAGCATCTGCRTATCAGAGATATCAGGAATTGACTTATTTTACTTAGCATGATAGTCTCCAGTTCCTTCCATTTACTGGCAAATGACATAATTCCATTCTTCTTTATGGCTGAATAATATTCCATCGTGTGTGTGTGTGTGTGTGTGTGTGTGTGTGCGTGCGTGTGTGTATCACATTTTCTTTATTCATCTGTTGAAGGGCACCTAGGTTGGTTCTCTAGCTCAGCTATTGTGAATTGAGCTACTGTAAACATTGATGTGGCTGTGTCACTGGAGTATGCTGATTTTAAGTCCTTTGGATATAAATACCAAGGAGTAGAATAACTGGATCATTCCAAGTGCTCCAAGTGTTCTGAGGAATCTCCATACTGCTTTCCAGAGTGGGTGTACCAATTTGCAGTCTCACCAGCAATATATGAGTGTATCTCTTCCCCCACATTYTTGCCAACATTTATTGTTACTGTATTCTTGATAACTGCCACTGATGAATGATTTTAAAGTAATACTGGCATAGTTTTTTAAACAAAGTTTCACTATAATGGGCACACCTCACTTTTTAGTTAAAAAAATTCATAAAATCTACAAGGATTATGTGGTGAATGTGGTGGGGCTGATGCAAATGTACACAAGGTTTATGTCTACTAGTGTACAATACAGCAGTTTTTTTTTTTACTTTTTACTTTTAATTTCTGATTTTGAGTATAGTATAATTGTTATTCCAATGAAAAAGTACTCTTATATAAGTAGACATGCTTCTTCAAAGGGTTTTTTCCCTCAAGATGTCTTTATTTCAAAATTCAACTTCTTAGATTTTATGTACAATTTAGGGTTTTGGGATATTTTTCTGAATAATCTATAGCATATGGTTGAGTTGACTAGAAACAGGGTTCACTTGAGAGAAATTACATTTATTAAACAGCTAAAAATCAATACCAATTCAATGTCTTACAATGGATAAATAGAAAATTACTGTAAGCTTTAATTTTTACATTAATTTTCAACTTTACATTAAGTTTTAATATTAGATTAAATAGCTAATTTTAAAACATGATTAAGAATTAGCATGCACAAGTTCTGATTGAACATGAAATTAAAATTCATATTTTAAGAGTTTAATTTATTAGTAGTAATAAAGCAAAACTGTTAGACAAACAGGAGTTTGAAACAGTAACAAAAGATAATATCATACATTTACCCTCAACTCATAATATATATGGCAAGGTCATTATGACTTTCAAATTCTGAGTTTTTCTGTAAAAACATGCTAATGAATTGAGTTAATGCCACAGTTTTGAAGCAATAATTGTCAACTTAAGAAACATTAGAAATTGGGAATGGGGCTGGGGATGTGGCTCAAGCGGTAGTGTGCTCGCCTGGCATGCGTGCGACCCGGGTTCGATCCTCAGCACCACATACCAACGAAGATGTTGTGTCCGCCGAGAACTAAAAAATAAATAAAATTCTCTCTCTCTCTCTCTCTCTCTCTTTCTCTCAAAAAAAAAAAAAAGAAATTGGGAATGTAACAAGTATACTGCAGAGATTCTGCAGCGCATTTATCTTTTAAGAGAAATGAATATAGAATCTACTAATACAGTTCAACTTATTTAATTTGAAATGGTAGGAGACTGAGGCTGTGAAAAATGTTCTTTAAAAAATTCATAACTGGAGGGTAGGATTAATTCATTTTCAGACATGCCAGGACTCAAAAATTATCTTCTGTGACTGTTTTCTCAGGAAGCTACTGAAGGATGTCTTCTAAGAAGACATGGGAGCTGGGTGTGGTGGAGCATACCTGTAATCCCAGCTACTTGGGGACTGAGGCAGCAGTGTAGCAAGATTGAGGCCCTCCTGGATAACTTAGCAAGACTCTGAAAAGTAAAAAGGGTTAGGGATGTGGCTCAGTGGTAGAGAGCTTGCCTATAATGCGTAAGACCCTGGGTTTGATCCCCAGCTCTTGGGCGGGGTTGYGGGAATGAGATATGGGGAACGTGTGGTTCACCACAGAGAGAGTTGAAGGGAACTCTCAGGATGAGAGTGAGAAGACCTGGGATTGTAGCTGAGCAGCAGGCTCAGGGAGCAACTAACTAGTCTAATTGGAACAGGAAGATAGAAGGCTTTGGGAAGGGTGTTATGAGGAATTGTTTAAAAATAAATTCTAGCATTTATTCAAATTTGGATAATTTTCYATCATTTATTTAAATTTAGATAATGACAAATATTTTGACTGATCTTATAGAGCAAATGGAAGAATATAAAATATAGCTTGTGGGGAATGTATTTAACTGTGATCATACAATTAATACTGATTACATAAATCATATATTGTAAGGATATACGTTTTGGGGGTACAAATTAGGATGTGGAGATTAGTGGTCTAAGAGCTTTAGTCTCACATACTATATTAAGTCAGTAGATGATTTCTAAAAGCTTGTATATTATTTGATACGACTAAAAACTAAAACATTAATGATGAGTTTCTTAAAGGAACATTAGGATTAAAATGTCTATAGTAAAAGCTGTCAGATATAGAGAAAAAGAAAAAAGAAACATAAGTTTATCTTTTGTACTTAAAAGGACTCCTTTTTCTTTGTTTATTTCTGTTTTTTTTTTTTTTTTTTTTTTTAAATCTTAGGGCTTCAAAAACAAACCAAAAAAGATGGGTCACATAAAGCCAGACTTGATTGATGTTGACTTAATTAGAGGTAAGTTTGTTTCTTGTGCATGTTGTTATGTTGTTTCATAGTGGAACTATGGATTAGTTTTAGATACCTTTTCTATTTGATGGTATACTTCAATTTCTAAGTAAAATTCTTTACTTATTTTGTGGACTTTAATC